GTGTAATAGCACACTGGAGCGTCCTACTCCGAACTGTCATTTAGTACCTACAGATCGTGAGTTCCCAGACCTCCTCCCTACTCTATTAGCCTCTGTGAACATCACATTTAAGCATCTGTCCTAAAGAAATATCTGCAAAGATGTATAAAAATATAGAGCACTATTTCAGTTCCTCTCTGTAAGTGGGAAGTGCAGAAGCAATCCGGTAACCCTTTCATACAAGACAAAAGAAATTGCACACTGTGGAGCCATTTTGAAATGAGGCGCATTTCCAGTACTTTTGTGGAGTGTCCCCTTCAGGGCCACCCAGAGGGGTGCGAGGAGCACTGTGAACGCAGAGCCATGAGTGCGCTCTGCCCTGGAAGGGAGGAGCACTCACTTAGGACTGACTTCGGCAGCAGTGTGGGAGCCCGGGGACCGTAGGTGGCAGCTGGCTCTTGTCTGCTTTGTCACTGCTGTAAACTCTGTACAGGTGGCCATCCTCTTTCTGCCTGTGCCTGGGATATGTTTGCCCCACACTCACATGCCCTCAGTATGTGCTGCCACCCAGAGAGGTCTGGCAGGTGTGCTGGGTACAGAGCACAGGGCACCCTGGCCATGCTGGGCAGCTGCTCTGCCTGTCACTGTGTGCCATCTCTTAGGAATGGCTCCTGCTGAATTTCTGCTTTCCCGATTGCATGTGAGTTCTTCTAACTATATTCTTAGAACCAAACAAAGAGCAGAGTTCCCGGGAAAGCAGTCTCCGGTGTCAGGCAAGCTGATGTGCCCCACCCCACACAGCTACAGGGACTTGGCTGTCTTTATCTACAGGACGCTGGAGGCGCAGTCAAGTCCACACAGAGGCCTGACCGGGCATTGGCATGTTGTGGTTTGCATGCAGATGTCCCCCCAGAGCCTTGGGTGCTCACAGGCAGGGCTTTGGGAAGAGGATTGGACCACGGGTGCCACAGCTGACTTGGTGTTTGGTGGGTCTGGGTCTGAAGAGGCTGGTGGGTTGCTGGGGGAGTGATCCGGAAGGGTCTGTCTTCTCCTTGGCTCCTCCCTCCCATCCCTGCTTCCTGGTCGCCATGAGGTGAGCAGCTTTCCTCCACCCAGGCCCTTCCACCATGCAGCTCCCTTGTTTAAACCTACCAAACACAGACTAAAACTTCTAAAACATGAGCCATAATGAACCTCTCCTCCTTTAAGTTATGGGTCTTGTCTATTTTGCCCAGCAATGAAGAAAGTGATTAAAGCACAAGGCATCCCACACAAATTGCATAGGATCAAGGGCCCCATTGTAAGCCAGAGAAGGAAGCTGCAACAAGGGACGAATGATCGTAGAACGTTTCCATCCCCAACATGGTCCATATGATGGATAGAATGCTGGAACAATCTGATAAAACTAAGCCCCCAAGTGGGGAACAACATCCTGTGGGTTGGGGTACTGTTCCTCTGGATTAGTAGATTCCTTGAACCCACCTCAGGTAAGCAGTACACGTCGCTTGTAGCTATGTGCACAATTCACACAGCACTGGGTGACAGCACGAGTGGCCTTTCTCTCTCACTCACAACCAGACCAGCAAACTATTTCTGAAATACTGAATCTGAGTGATTCCAAACTTTGATCAAAAGACTGTGATAATTACCACAAGCACAATCCAGCAGGGTCACGGCAGCAAGAATCCATATCCCGCATGGAAAAAGCTGAGTCTTGGGCAAACAATCCAGGTCAGACAATGTGTGAGGTAAGTGTCAGGGCATCTAAAGGAAGTGATGGACAAAGGAGATAAAGAACAGCAATCAAAGCCTTGGGGACAATTACAGAAATGAAGACTTTGTAGCTTGTGTGGCTAACATTCTTGCCGTATCATGGCTCCACCAAGAATCCTCAGTGGGGAGGATGTCACTCTCACATGGCCAAAATTTAGTTCTGGCTGGGGGAGAACCTTAGGTATAATAGTTTGGGATTATCCAAAGCTCAATTCTAACTCCTTGTCTCAGGATCTGCTTTCTAGAAGACCTATGTTAAAATAGTGACAGAAGAAGCAAGTCATAAATATTCCTCATGGCTGAGTTACCAAAAAGGACAAAGAGCAAAAAGCATTCTGGTCCTAGCCACATCACCCACATTTTTTCCTAGCAGTGACCAGATAGATGATAGATAGATAGAATGGACCTTCTTTCTTCTCTGTTATCTTGTTGTTTTAAATATTAATCATGAATGCATGTCACAAATAAAGTTAATCCACAGATTGAAGTGCTTCCTGTGGGCAAGGTGATGCACACTCTCGATTTGGGTGAGAAATAATGGCACCACATTATAAGGTTCAAGAAAGCATTGGGGAAAAAATATTGCTTTGGGCTGTGCCTGTGCAGCCTTCCATCTCAGGGTCTGTCTCGCCAAGCTCCCGGATGGATTATGAAACACTCAGTACTGCTATAGTGTTTCTTTTAAGTATTAATAGCCTAGACTCTACTTCTTTTCTTTGCATCTAAGAGCTTGAGTGCTGAGCCCCTCGATTCTAGACCCCCTTCCAACGCCAAACCCCACTCGGGTGGCACAGAAGCCCTGGTCTGTTGCCTGCCACTGGAGATGGCTTCTCTTCGGAGCCTGCTCACCGGCAGAGCTGCTCAACTCCATTCTCTAGGTGTTTAGTAAGTGCTCCCTCTGCCAGGCCCTGGAGAAAAAGGAGAAGAAACTCTCCAAATACTTTCATCTGGGGACCGAAAACATACAACAAGCAGCAAGGGTCAAGATAAAAGTAGGAAATCACAGGAGGAAGAGCACCTGAAGGTAAGGCAAACAAAGAAGAAAGCGAGTCTACCTGTTATTTCCCCATTTAGCTCATCAAGACTAGGATGTGAACACCTCTAGAGAGAAGCACTTCGGGGATGACCCCCCAAGGGAGTCGGAGAAGCTAAACACCCCAGGCAGTCCCGGCCTGGCACTGCTAGCTCTGTCCTCGGAGGAAGAGTCTGGTTAGAGAAGCTCCCAGGAGCTGCTCTCTGTCTCCACCTGGCCCCTTCTGAGTTAAAGAGGGCCTCGGAGTCTACACTCCAGGAACTTCCGAGATTCTATCACCACTGGGAGGTGGGTCTTTCTAGAATTTAGCAGTGGTCTTAACCAGTTAGCTAACTCCAGGGCCTCAGAGCAATCTGTGCAAGGCTGCTGTGGCTGGGAGAGGTAGACTAGGAGGCGAGGTGAGACACTGTCACTCAAAAGCACACGCATCCCCACCAGCCCACCCTGAACCAGCCCAGGACATGGAAATCACAGTCTTGGGCTTGAGTATAGGTTCCCAGCGGTTCTTTATCTCATCTTCATCTTTGCGGTGGGTCTCCCTTCTACATATTTCCCCACCTGTTCTGCTCCGTAAGCCCAGCTCCTCGGGAGCAAAGAGACTCCTGAGCTCCTGCTCCAAGACCCCCTGCCCTGCAGTTTTCCAAAGTCTGAGAAATGCAGGTCTGCTGTTTTCTGGCTTCTCTGTGGAAAGAGAGACAAGAAGACAGAGGAAGAAAAATGAGAGGGAGACAATAACAGGAGAGTAGAAAGACAGGGACCAGCACCTTGTGGCTCGGAAGCTGATATTCTTTCCAGCGGATCACAAGGAAAATCACACCATCTTCCTGCTTCTAGGTGAAGCCCTGTGAGGTATCAGTAGTTTTCTGGTCACTTATGATTTTAAAGCCGAGTTTCATTTGATACTGAAGACCCACTTGCAGGTGTTAAAAAGCTAAGGCGAGCCCGATGTAAAGCTTCCATTTCACACCCAGCTGTAAGCGTGCATCCTCTCTCTTGAGCTCAGCTCCCCTGTGCAGCCTGCGGATGACCGGAGGAGGCAGGGGAGTGTGCTCTTCCCTGTCCTTTAGCCTTCTGTCCCCATTATCCTGTCATTGTGTTGCTTTGTTCTCCCTTTCTTTTTAGCTTTACAGGGAGAGAAGGAGAAAGGCTCCAGTCTGTTCCCTTAAAACACTGGTGTGGCAGGCAAGCTTTCTCGTGAGAGCATGTTGGGTCTTCCGGGACCCCATTTCACCGTGCGCTTCGGTACGCAGTTCCCTGACAGAGCTGTTCTCTGTTATCTCCCTAAGACAGCTCTTTCCTAACAGAGCCACTGCATGGGCTCTAACTCCGACAGCCTTCGCCACCCAACGGGCCCCTTCTTGGAGTCCCAGGAGGCAGCTTGAGCTCAGTGACCCCGCAGTCTGCACTTGGCCTGCAGCAAGTGCACCTATACCTGCCTCGCGGGCTGCGATGAGGCGGGATTTCCCTACCAACCGCCGTCCTCTCCCTGCCCGTCACAGTGGGCTGACCCAGTGAGACGCCACCTCTACAAGCACGAAGCTGGCACAAGTCTGTTGGTTCAATGGCGTCTTCTAAATTCTCTGGGTCATCAAATAGAGCCACAAATGAAGGAAAGTTCTGACCACCCCCTCTTGTATTCATTCACCAAGAACCGTCCTTTGGGGCCCCCTCTCACTTTGGCAGGAAGGAGTATACCTGCATCTTACCCCCACAGGGATTCCTCACGTCCCGCTGTTTCAACTTCCCCAGGCTCTTCACTTTCGTCACCCTTCAAACGTCTTCCTTCTTCCATTTATGAACAGTGCCGGCAGTCTTGCCCTCTTTTCTCATTTTCTCCGTTTCCACCAGTTTCTCATTTTTTTAAATTCTTGCAGGAGTATCTCGCATCTTTAGAATGAATATGGGATACTCTTCATCAATGGCGGATTTAAACAACACTTAGCACTAACTGAAAAAATCAAATTCAGAGCCTGGTTAGAGCTTGAATTACGTTCATTGAGAAGTGAATATCATGGCCTGTCTTTTCTCTCTAAAGTATTTCCTGACTGCGCTGATGAGGTAGCTCCTTTTTAAGTAAGCCTCTACTTGTTAAGTTGAAGGAACTTCACTCCCTTCCCTGTAGAGGAAGTGCCCCTTTAAATAGCTGCAGCTGAAAAGTACTGTCCCAGTTCTCCTTATGAAAATACTAAGACTTTGTGTCCCTTTCTTCAGGGTTAACAGAAAAATGCATCAAGGAAACCAGACCACCATCTCCGAGTTCATCCTTCTGGGACTTTCCGACCAGAGAGAGAAGCAGACACTGCTCTTCGTGCTCTTCCTGGCTATGTACCTGGTCACTGTGGCTGGGAACGGGCTCATCATTCTGGCCATTGGCTTGGACACGCACCTTCACACCCCCATGTATGTCTTCCTTGCCACCTTGTCCTTTGCTGATATGTCCTCCTCTTCTACCTCCATCCCCAAAATGCTGATGAATATTCAGACCAAGAATCAGTCCATCTCCTACAACAGCTGCATCACCCAGATGTACTTTTCCATTGTCTGTACTGTCACCAACAATTTCCTCCTGGGGGTCATGGCCTATGACCGCTTCATGGCCATCTGCCACCCACTGAACTACACCACCATCATGCACCCTGCGCTTTGCACTTGCCTCACGGTCATCCCATGGGTCCTCAGCAACATTGTGGCCCTGACGCACACCCTTCTGCTCACCCAGTTGATCTTCTGTGACAGCAACACTCTCCCACACTTCTTCTGCGACTTGGCTCCCCTGCTCAAGCTGTCCTGCTCCGACGTGGTGCTCAATGAGCTGGTGCTCCTTATCATGGGCTTGTCAGTCATCAGCCTCCCCTTTGCTGTCATCCTTTTCTCCTATATCTGCATCATCAGGGTTGTGTTGAGAATCTCGACCTTAGAAGGAAAGTGGAAAGCCTTCTCCACCTGCGGCTCCCACCTGGCTGCTGTGTTGCTCTTCTACGGGACCATCATGGGGGTTTACTTTTTTCCCTCCTCCACCCACCCAGAGGACACAGATAAGATTGGTGCGGTACTCTTCACTGTGGTGACGCCCATGGTGAACCCCTTTATCTACAGTTTGAGGAACAAGGATATGAAAGGTGCCCTGAGAAAGCTCATCAATAAAAAATGGGGTTCCTCCCTTTGATGCCCCAGACATCTGAATTCTTTGATCTTCATTACCAAATGGGTTATTCCTCCCAGGGTTGGTGGCATAGTGTGATGGTTTAAGTTTTGTAAGGTTTCAGATATTTGCCTCCTATTCCAATCTTTGAGGGCTTCAGGCTTTTCTACATACCTCTGGTCTTGGAAACAAGATCCTCTAACCCCATGGTATGTCAAAATAACATGCATCTTGGTTACAATCTATGTTAGTGCAAACTTTGACATAAATTGTTTATAACTTAAACAATAAGCAGTGCTTGTAGTCTTGCTTTTGAAGCTTTGAGTATAGTTATTATTAATCCTTTATTCATCTTGGTTTTTTCCCAAAGTTTGCTTCTATTTATGTTTTAATTGCTATAAAAAATGAATCCTGTACTTCTACTTCCAAATAGTTTGGGGCAATGCAGAATTAAATGATGCAAAATGTTATTAACTAGACAACATCTCAGAGCCCTACCATATACTATTACTCATTTGAGTGAGGCAAAGAGCACATAAAGACCAAAATAAAGAATTGATAGAAGGAAACAAGGAGATAGATCTTTTGCAAATGGGAAGAGGTCCAGGGGAGAAAGGGTGAGGGAAGGGGTTGAAGGGAAAGGGAAGTAAAAAGATGTACCAAATACCCACAATGAATGCAAACATCATATGTCATAAACATGAACTAAAAATAATAACAATAATAATGAAAATGGGGAAAGAGGATCTAGAGATGGAGGGAGGTGGGTAGTTGGGGAAAGAAAGGCAATTAAGAAAGAATCAACGTGGGTTATATTCCTGCTCCTACACCCTAAGATGAATGTAAACTTCATGCACGGCAAATACATGCTAGTAAAATAAAATTTTTTAAAAAGGCAATATGGAACTCAGCATTTCTCAAAACTGAACTTCAATAATACAGAACCTAATTTGTCACAAAGTGGCTCATGGGTTTAGCATACTTCAGAATATGTTTTGGGAACTATGATTCCCAATGACTTCAATTATTTCAATGAAAAGCCACAGAAGCGCATGTATAGAAACAATGGAGGCTGGCTGTCAGAATTACCTGGTGGATTTTTTTCAAAACACACAGTCTCAGACCCTACAGTGCCTTTTCTATTTGGCTGGCTGCAAGGGTCTTGGGTTCAGATCGGCAAACAAAGTCATCAAATGCACCCCAAGTCATCCTACTGAGCCTTAAGAAAGGACTTGGGACGCCCACATGCACAATGACAAGGCAGTGGGAGCCTCCAGCAGGCCTTGTATTAGCCCAGACATTCGCTCAGGATATGTATGATCCAGACTGAGATCTGAGTGTACGTGGCCAACCTCAGCCCACAGACACATCGGCTCTGGGTTCCTGAGGCACTGCACCATGCTGATTGCCAGCTCTCTCGGGCACATGCTGGTTCAGCTGCATCTCAGTACTGACAGGTTACTCGTCAGTAAGGGAGGTTAGTTGCAAGGGGGCTTTAACCATGGTTCAAACTCAGAATTCTGAGGTGAATAAATAAGCTACAAGCCAGGTTTTACTGCTTTCTTCCCAAACCCCACCTTGGCTCTACCGACCCAGCCTCTCTGGTGAAGGAATTGGGCACTCGAGTTTTGGAAACACCCGGGATTACACCCAGGATAATCGCTGTAAATTGTCCTCTGCCCTGGTAGTCCGGTCCTGGTCCTGGTCCTATCATTACTCCTGAATGATAGACTCCACGGGAGGCTGGAAGGAAGAGTTCCATCTGTAGTAACAGGAATGCTGATTTGCCCAGAAGTGGACTTGTACACAAATTGCAAGTTTGACTGAGGACATGAATTAGAATTAGGATTAAGACAGAGAAGACAACTGATTAAAAAAAGGAGAATCCTAGGCTACTACGAAAACTTTGACAAATCTTCACAGAGGAAAGGCAAAAATTTGTACCTAGACTCTTACAGTTTCCTGAATCATTCTCCAATTTGCCATTTTCCACAAACATCTATTGAGAACCTTTTATTTAGCAGCCTCTGTATCTGGTGGAGGGACTAAAAGAATGAATAACCCACAGCCCCTGACTTCAGTGCACTGCCAAATCAAAGAGAGAAAAATAAAAATAATTTTCCATGATATTTAAAATGATAATAAAGGCAATGTTTATTCAGTAATCAAAGTCATTAATTTAGAAAGCATAAAGAGTTTATGCAAAGGGCAGGTAAGTAAATTTGACACTATTCTTGGTCATGACCAAGAATGGTCATGACTTGGTAGTCATGCCTGAGAAAAACCAATGCATGGTTTTATTATAAACTAAAAGAGACCTCTGTCTTCTAACTGAAACTAACATAAACACAAGGAGATTTTAGAAAAACCAAAAACAGATGCACATTGGATAGGAATACCCTGCAAAACCTAACATATAAGATGCCAATAAATACTAACTTATTTAGCCACTAAACAAAGATGTTTAGGTGTCTAGTAGGAGTTAAAGGGAAATAAGGCAGTGTCATTGAGTTCTTCGCTCCATGCAAATGAATGAATGATGTGCGGCAGGAGGCAGGGCCGAGGGGACGTGGGGCAGGCAGCAGTCGGTAACAGCAAGGGGCAGACATCTCCATGGAAAGAGGTTAGGCTCTCTCCAGGAATGGGAAGTGGACGGGAACAGGGCAGAGGGAGGGAGGCTGAGCAGCAGGCACAAGCGAGGAGGTGGTTACTAAGCCACGAAAGCTGAGACGTGTGGGCCCCTGGGAAGAAATTACGTTATCTACGCAGTTTATGGGTTTAAAGTCATGAGACTGAATGAAATTCTCCTCTGAGGAATATGACCATGCCCTCGAAGACCCTGAGACTTAAGAAGGCAATAAAGTAGCCCCCAGGAAGGCAAAGGAAGAATGTGAAATTTTTCTGAGGAGAAGGAGGGAGAGCTATTTCAACTATCAAAGGACCAAAGGACCTCCGAACTCATTGTACTCTGATCTGCTGTCTTCTCAGCTCTCTGGGAAGCAGCTGCTACCTCAGCACTGAGATTAAAGTGAAGCGGATCCCTGCAGGACTGGTTGTGAGAGGAGACGAACATCTCACTCTTCTTAGCCTCTGCCTTCCTTCCACGTGGCTCTGTCCCCTGCCTACTTCTTCTCCTTCTACTGGATTTTTAAATGACCCAGAACTCAAACCTCCTTTAAAATTCATAATAACTGATTATGTATTTTATGAATAACCAGAAGAGAGGAGCTCAAAGTCTTCAAACACAAAGCAGTGATAGCAGATCCAAATGTTAATCACCCTGGTTTGATCCATATGTACCACATGCATGTAATGAAATATCACACTGCATCCTGTTGATATGTACAACTACTATGTGTTCATAGAACTGTCTTTAAATAAAGAAAGAAAATGGAATTGGCATACAGCTTTAAGCAATACCACGTGTGACCTTTTTAATCATCCCAGAATGATCTAAAACATCTCCTAGTTACTTTGGTAATACAAAGAAATGACATACTGTGATCAAATAAGGATTATTCCAAAAATATAAGAATGATTTAACATGCAAAAGCAAATGATGTTATTCAACATATTAATAAATAAAAATAAAAATAAATAATCATAACTAGATCTAGAAAATCTGAAGAAGAAATCCAAAACCATTTCTAATTTAAAAAGAAAAAAAGAAAAATTTTCAACAAACTGAAAATCAAAGGGAACTCTTAATCTGATTTTAAAGGGCTTCTATGAAAAATTTACATAAGTAGTGAAAAATTGAAAGTTTCTTTACAATCAAGAAAAGAACAAGAAAGGAATTTCTACTCTCCTCACATCATTCAATACTGCAATTCCCAAAGTTCCAATAGACATTTTTTTGTAAAAATTGAAAAACTACTTCTAAAAACTCCATGGAAATTCAAAGGACATAGAATAACTAAAATGAAAACTAAAATGAATATGGTTTAAGGACTGGCCCTAACTGATGTCTAGACATATTAGTATTCAAAATGGTCTAGTATCAGTGTGAAGAGACAAACAGATCACTGAAACAAAATAGAGTCCAGAGAATCCTCACATGTACATGAATAATTGATCTTTGACAAACATACAAAGGCGACAAAGTGTAACTATAGCCGTGACTGTATGCAACCTTTATTTGTCACTTAAATATTTTTATGTAAGAAATATTTTAAGTGGACAAAGGACAAGAATAGACATTTCTCCAAAGAAGATTCACAAGTCACCAGTCGGGATATGAAACAATACACGACGTTACTGATCAGCGGAGGAATAGAAAACAAAGCATGGCGAGAGGACATCGCACAGCTGCCAGACGATCATTATTAGAAAAGAGAAGGAATGAACGTTTGTGAGGATGTGGTGAAGTTAGAGCCCTTGCACACCTTTAGAGGGAATGTAAGAGGGTGACGCTGTTTTGGAAGGCAAAGTGGCAGTTCCTCAAAAAATTAAAGACAGAACCACCACGTGACTCAGATACCCCACTCCTGAGTGTATCCATCCAAAAGAATTGAGATCAGATCCCAGAGAGATATCTGCGCGCCATGTTCCTTGCCACATTTAATACAACAGCCATGATGTGGAAACAACTGACGTGCACATCCACACCAGTGCGGGGATGAAAACAAAGTGGGAAGAGAATGGAATGCTTTCAGCTTCTCAGAGCAGAAGGAAGCACTGTCACATGCCAGAGCATTCCTGAGGGAAAAAATCCAGCCCCCCAAGGACGAACGCTGCCTGGTTTCACTTATACAGCACATCCAGAATACTCCAACTGAAATGGACACTGCAGCATGGTGATTTCTAGGGGACAGGGACATAGGGAATTGTTTGTTGCTCAGGGCATATAAAATTTCAGTTATGCAAGATGAACTCTGTTGCAGAATATTGTGCTTATATTTAACCACGCTGTAACACGCTCTGAAAATTTTGCTAAGTGGTAGGTTGTAGCATTATCCATTTTTACTACAATTTTTTAAAAAATGTCTCACCATGCTGAGCATTGGTGAGAATTTGGAGTAAGTGGAGTGCTGGGCACTGCAGGCATTGTTGATGTGAGTGTTAAGCAATACAACTACTTTGGAAACCAGCCCAGCAGTTTTCTAAAAAGTTAAACCTATACCTGCCTTATGATCCAATCATTCCATCCCTAAGTATTTATTTAAGAGAACTAAAAGTATTTTTCCATTCAAAGGCTTTCCATGAATGCTCATAATAGCTTTATTTCTAAAAGCCAAAACTAGAAACAACCCATGTTTCCCTCAACAGACACAGGAATAAACAAACACATTAAACCACACAATGGAATAGTCCTCAGCAACAGGGAGTGAGTCATTGATAAACGTGGCAGTGCTAATGATTCTTGGAATAATTATGTTAAGTCGAAGAAGCCATACATTATTCTTTTTATATAAAATTGCAAATAGGTTGTGGTGATAATTTCCTGAGTGTTTTCATATGTCAAAACTTATCAAATCCTATACTTTAAGTATGTTCGGTTTATTGCATGTCAATTAAACTCAATAAAGTCATTTTTAATTCAGAATATCAAAAAGGATTTTAGATATACTCTTGAGCACGAGGAGGAAGAGGATAGAGTGATCAAACAAAAACAATGAATTCTGTCTGTACACATCTACATATACATGCAGTGCAGTATTTTTAAATGCTACTAAGCGGTAAGAATTAACAATGATTAGCATTTGTAATGTAATATTGAAATCCTTAAATGATTGCTTAAGATTGAAAAAGGGGGCAAGGTTGGTAATTGACTGGTGACACCATACTACTACTACTGAAGCTACACCATACTATTAGCTACTTACTGAAGAAAGTTTTGACCCAAAGGGCTTTGGAAGGTAATAGTGTATCCAAGCCAATCCTACTCTTTCTGGAAGGGCTGAAAATTCCTCCAGATCTTCTGCATTGAGCCATAAAACCACCAACATAAGTTTCACGAACTTCACTCTTAGTCCCAAGATAAAGCCACCTCAACCCATGTCAAACAAATACTAAGGCTAACAGCACAACTGAAACCCAGATACCTCTAAAGAAAGTTGCAGGAATTTAAGGCCTTGGAGAAAGAAAGTGAAGAGAATGCAGAAGGAGTGACTCAGTTAAGGGTAACCACATTGGCATGAGAGAGAACGAAGAGCAAAATCTTCCCTACCTGTCATTTTCTTGCTATACAGCATGAGTAAGTCACATAATCTTTCTGTGTCTTGATGGGATTTTTTTTCTTTTGCTACGTGAAGTCAATAATAATTATTTTCCATTAAAGTTGTTAGGAGGACTAAAATAAATGATTCATGTGAAGCTTTTAGCATAGTGCCTTGCACACAGTAGGGATGCATTAGCTTAAGAGTTAAGTAAAAAATTGTGAGTGAACCCTCCACTTCTGGAAGTGCCTGTGTTCAAAACTAATCTGGGCCCAGGGGGACTGTTTTAGGCAATTCTGAAATAAAGCAGCTGGGCCAGGGATTTAGCTCAGTAGTTCTGGCGTCTGCCTCGAAAGTGCAAGGTCCTGAGTTCAATTCCCAGTACCAAAAAAGAAAAGAAATAAAGCAGCTGTCCCTCTGCCCGTTACTGCCCATTGTGTTTGCATTCTGGATGATTGTTGTAATCACAGGTATTAATGGGCATAAAACTTACCAAGCACCTTTCCTTTCTCCATGTCAACCAAGTTGTTTTGAGAACACATGAAACAAATGTAAAGCCCAAAGCAAATATTCAGTAAATACTATTTCACAGGCAGGAAGTGGGCTGAAAGTCACCAAAGAGTCTGAAGCAAAACATTGGTGCAAAATTCTGCGCGTCGTCTATAACATAAACACATCTAAGGAGCACAGGCCACAGAAGCCGATGTGTTCAGGGAGCGATTGTATGGCAGATGAAATCTGAAATCTGGCCAGCAGGATGCACTGTATAAAGTTCCTTCATCCTATTCAATAGTTTTTAAGTGATTTGTGCAAAACACAGGCAAAAGCTGAGGTGTGAACGCCAATCGCTTGGCCACCAGTAAAATATCTTTGCCTATATCTTTTCCTATACATGCCCACCCAATTCTTTCCTAAAATCCTCGCCATATGTCCTTCAATTGAAAGTTCAGATGAACTATTTAATCTACACTCCACACTTTATCACACACAACCACACACAAGTCACATGATGTAATACTGTCACTGAAGGGGCTACGAAATGAATGTTGTTTACCATCTTCTACCTCCACATGTTGGACTTTTGCTTTTTCTCCACCAATAAAAGGAGAAATAAAAGTACAATAACAATAAATCTCAACTTGAATGATTTAGAGGCAGCAGTAGATCACACCCAGAGTCGATAGACGAAGCAATGTAGAGATCAGGCTCTGGCCAGGAGGAAACACTGCACTACCACTCACTGCCTCCCTGACCTTGGGGAAATCACTCAGCTCCACTAAGCCATAAGTGCTTCATCCACTGAGAATGAGGAATAATAATAAACATGCTTCGCAGGCATCTCCTGCAAATTAAGTAAGTCCAATAGCAAACATACTGTAAGTCCTGGAAGGCAAAAATGCCTAATAAAAATTAGTTCCTAATATTGATATTATTGTTTCAAAAACCCAGAAGCAATAAGAAGGCAAATTTTTAAAGAACAACAAATGAAGAGACTTGGAAAGTTCCCTTCAATCCAAACAGTAATTGCATTTGTAGATAGTTTCAAATTTTCCCAGGCCCTTTTACTTACTCATCAGGTATGTGTTGTGCCAGAAAACGTAATGGGTCCAGGAAATATTAGTGACTAAGACAGACAGGAGCCCTACCCAGTGTGCATGGCATCCTCAATAATATAGTTCTATAATGTAGGAAAACCCACTGGGCAGATAAGAAACTAAAACCAGAGAACTGGGGTCTCAAAGGTAGATGCTGGAACCTGGGAATCATTCGTTCAACAAGTATTTATTGATTTTTGGGTACTTTGCTAAGCATTGAACATAATGTTTGTTCTCTTGCCAGCTGTGAGAATCAAGTAATATCAAACACATAAAACAGCTAGCTTGTCCGACAATGACAAGTATTACATAGAATAATAAGTCAGGAAGTGGAAGTGAAAAGCTCAGGTGTAGTTTTAAGTAGGGTAGTCTAGGAAAGCCTTCTCCAGGTGATGGTTGAGAAATTACAGAAAGCATAGGGAAACCAAGACATGGCATATTTTCCAAGGGTCCATCTTGGGTCTCCCAGGAATCATTGATAGACTCAGGGATTTCCTCACAGCCTCCTTCACCTCCTTGTTCCTCAGGCTGTAGATGAGGGGATTCAGCATGGGGGTCACCACGGTGTAGAACAAGGACAACACACGATCCCTTTCTGAGGACCTGCTAGAGTTGCCTCCCAGGTACATGAAGATGAGGGTGCCGAAGAAGAGTGACACTGCCGTGAGGTGGGAAGCACAGGTGGAGAAGGTCTTGGCCCGGCCCCCCGCAGAGCGGATCCGCAGGATGGTCACGATGATGAGCAGGTAGGACACCAGGATCACCACCATGCAAGCGGGGAGGACGAAAATGGCGAACACAATAATGACCACTTCCTGGGTGTAGCTGTCCCCACAAGTGAGTTTTAACAGGGGAGGGAGGTCACAGAAAATGAAGTCGATCTCATTGTCTCCACAGAAGGAGAGAGTGAAGGCCGAGACCGTCCGCACCAGGGCACTGAAGAAACCTGCCACATAAGCCCCAGCTACCAAGCCCACACGGGCCTTCCGTGTCATGATGGTGACGTAGAGCAGCGGCTGGCACACGGCCACGTAGCGATCATAGGCCATGAGGGCCAGGAGGTAGCAGTCGACGGAACCAAAGAAGGTAAAGAGGAAGAACTGAGCAGCACAGCGAGCTTGGGAGATGGCCGCTCCCCGTTCCCACAGCACCACTAGCATCTGGGGGACGATGACCGAGGAGTAGCACACGTCCACGAAGGAAAGGTGGCTGAGGAAGAAGTACATGGGCGTGTGGAGGCGGCGATCCATGCGGATCAGGATGAGCATTCCCACGTTCCCCAGCAGGGTGGTGAGATAGAAACTCAAGAACACCAGGAAGAGAGGGAGCCCCCACTCTGGGTGCTCAGTGAATGCAGTGAGGAAGAACTCTGTCACCAACGTGCGGTTCCTCCCAGCCATCCATACAGCGGTTCACCTGGGAGAGCTAAGGCAACAGCCAGATGAAGGGTCCCCTCCAGAGCTCAAGTCTTTGCAAGAAATAAAGCCCAAACTGAACATCAGCCCCTGCTGTTCAACCAAGTTTGCAGTTGGAGGATAGAAGCAAATACAGAGCTCACTTCGAGGTAAAAAGGGAAGGACACTTGCATTAGAGTAGCAGCGGAGACCAAGTGACCTTCCGGCTTGTAAGTCAGTTCTTGAATTTGTAGCTCTGTCCAAAATTAGCTGCTTTTGTTGCACACCGCACTGAACCTCCATGCTTTTCTCTGCCAAAGGGGATCATAATTCCTTCTCTGTGCAAGAGATGATACATAGATTACAGCAGATAAAGCCAAAGCCCTCCACATATACAGTGGATATTTAAAAATTTAAACAAAGGTTTTAAGGAAGGAAGATTTATATTCTATGAACAAAAGAACATGAACCAAAAATAATTACCCATTATCAATCAGCTATGGGATCTGCTTGTAGAGATTTCTATTCTCAGTCTAACAACATGAACGCTTAACCAACAGCTGTTTTCCTAATTAGAGTTGGCTGGCTTATTAAGGCTTTATGTGGATATACACTCGCCAGCATTAACCTTGGAGGCAGACGAGCAAGCATAAGCTCCTGTGGGCACCTCACAAAGCTCCATAAGCACTGCTTGGTTATTCTCAAAGTCCCTAATAAGAGCTGCAGTCTGATAATAAATAGTGTCCAAATTTGAAAGCAGAGGAAGCAGAAATACTTCTGTAGTCTGGTAATGTCTGAGTGTTATTGGAGGGGTCTGGGTTCATGGATTTGAAGGTTCTTGGTAGAGTTCTAGAACAAAGCTGTAAAGCAGGTCTTGGATCATGTCTGTATTCTCGATGTACCAACAGCCAGGCTGATGCGGAGCTGGCTCGGTGGGAATAACAAAGAAAGGAAATTAGACCTGCAAGCCCTGAGCTGCCCTGAGCTGTCCTCACCTGAGTTCCGCTGTGCCAGTGCCTTCCTCCTCTGCTTGCAGCTTCCTCTGCCAGGGACCTGCCAGTCCAGAGGACGCCTAGTTCTAGGTCACCCACACCACGTGTGTGGCCCTGGGCTGGGAAGGAAGTTACCTTTCCTCTCTGGGCTTCCTTATCCTGTCTTTGTTCCCTTTCAGTAGGCAACACAGCAGATATCCATAATCATAGCACCTGACTGAGATGGGATCATTTGCACGAGCTCTTTGCTTTATCCTCGCTTCTGAGAGTCTTTCTCTTTCCCCTCGCCTCAAAAATGCAATACATCTTTGACACTAGAGTTTCCCAGAATTTTTCACATTCATCCCAGCATAGCAGGGCTAGGAGGCTGGCTGCCGTCTCCCTGAGCCTCTGATCCAGCCCTAGACTCGGTGGTACTTATCTTCACTGGCCCAACACCTTGCTCTAATTGGTTCCCCAGGTGACTCTCCAGGGAGAGGTGATCTATCTGCACGCACCTTCCTAACAAAGCCTCTAAACTCTCCAAAGTTTCTCTTTTACCTTCAAACTCCCAAGGCCCCATCCCATGGTTTGCCCTCCCTCAGCAGGGTCTGGTGCAGTCGTTCCTCGTCTTGCCTTCTTCTTGTTTTGTACCAACAGCAATGCCGGTTTTTTGAAGCCTTCCCGTATCTCACTTGGGAATTTTGTCAGGGATTTTATCCAGTGCCGCCACCCTAGCCAGCTGTGACCTGATCCCAAAAGAGAGGGTGCTTTAAAAGCACAAGTTTTTGCTTCCCATTGCCAAGACACCCTGGAATATGTGACTCTGAAATTCACCATGTGGCTGACGCAGAGAATTGTGGGAGTGGGAAGTCACGAGATGAAGTGCTGGAGAGGCAGGCGTGAGAAGGCTAGGGACAGGCTTCCTCTGGAAGAACAGAAATTTCACCCAGGCCTTCGAACTGAGCTCATCCCCAGCCCTCTTTTTATTCTCGGATAGGATCTTGTTAAGTCGCTGTGTTGCCCAGGCTGGGCTCCAACGTGTGATCTTCCTGCCTCAGCCTCCCAGAGTCTGGGATGACAGGGCTGCACCACCAGGCCTTGCAAAAACAACAGAGAATCCTCGATGGTGGCCACATCCGTCCTCCGCCACAGCCCTGGATCTCAGAGTTCAGTGTGCATAGGAATTACTCTGGAACTGGTCTGGAATGTGAATTCTCACCCACCACCTCCCTAGATTCTGATGCAGTCTATCTGGCACGGGGAGCAGGAATCTACCTGGCTCCCACTTTCCCAGGTACCCCAGGTACAGTTAGTCTCAGAAACTACAAAACTCTACACACAGAGAGGACCATGAGGCTGCTCAGTGGCAAAGCCGTGACCTGAAGCAGGGCAGTGCGCTGCCAGCTGGGCCTGTCTGGGACACACACAGGCGGGCTCCAGGGCAGAGCACCTCAACTTCGCTGCACACAGGAATCCCCCGGGGGCATTCACAGCCCCTCAGCCCAGACTGCTTCTCTTACAATTAGCTCAGAAGTCCAAGTGTACAGGCCAGACACTACAATGTTAATCCCTAGGTGGTTACAATTGCAGAAGGGTTTGCAAATCACACAGAAGGCTCCTGCCTGTCCCCAGGCATCTTACGTAGGTGTCCCAGGGAGGAAAATAAATTTACTGTTCTCATTAGTTTGGAGACCACTGCACATTCTGTTCCTCACTTGGAGAACCATATTGTGTATCTGCATGTTAAAAGATGTGTAAAATCCTACAATTAAGAAAGCTCCTCTGCTTTGCCTAACCCACCATTCCCCAAAAGTATTTAACCACAGAACCTCTTCTTCATTAGCCTCCTACAAAACCAGAGTTCCTAGGAAAGGACACTGCTGAGGTAACACAGCCCTAAAGAGGCAATTATTCCAAGCAGCAGTGCCTCCCGAGGGTTCTCCCCGGGATCTGGCTCCTTCCAGACTCTGGGAGACTGGTTCCCCAAGAGTGGCCCTGGAGAGGTGCTCAGGGACACAGCCATCCAGGTCCCCAGGGAACTGTGGAAGAAGACACCTCCTCTCCCCTAAGCAAGGCCTTCCCTTCGGCCGGGACTAGATGGGCCCCTGCTGTTCTCCTTCACAGATGTACTGACCCTGCCCACTCATTCCCAGGCGAGACCAGCTGCCAGGCCCATCAGAAGCCTGCTTTCAGGAAGCACTCAGTTAGCTTAATGAATGTAACCTAGTTAACCAGGGACTATTTTTAGAATGCACACATAGATCAAAGCATCACATCACATCCCGTAAATACACACAATTATTATTTCTCAACTAAGTTTTAATGGCTTAACAATGTTTTTAAGAAACCATATAATAATTATTAGGATGATTCAGCTACTATGTGGCCAGCTCCACATGACAACCAAAATGAATCTCAAAGAATATTAATCAAGATCTCACTTATTGTATTAGGGCCCATAAAACTAGAACAGAGTTTATTGTTCTCTAAGATCTTTTTCCCCTGGGATCAAAATTTGAAAGAGAAATCCAACAGAATAATAACAGCAAAGATCACTTTGGGTGGACACCATATATGTACAGATGTTCCTTCACTCTCCTAAGATGGAGGATAGGTGCACGAATGGATTGACTAATAAGATGCGTTCACTCAGTTAATCCATGCAACAATCCTATGATTGAGGAACTATTATTGTCTTTATTTTAAGAAGATAAGAAAAATTTAGACACAGATCATTGAAGCAGACCCAAATAGTCTCACAGAAAGAGGCAGAGCTGGGTTTGGACCCAGAAATCTGGCTTAGAACATACATTCCTAACTCCTACACCATACTGCAAACTCTCACAAGGAGATCTACAAACTCCACATCTGGGAATAGTCAAGAGGTTCTTCTTGGTGTGTCTATATTTTCCTTGTAGCCTTTTAGAAAAAAGAGGACTTGCCTTCATCATCTCCTTGTCATGGAACAGTGACAGGACCCAACACCCACAAATTAAAGGAGAAGAGGTTTATTTTAGCTCAGAGTTCCAATCTGTGGTCTGCTGGCTCCAAGGCAGAACGGCGTGGCAGAGGGGCATCACAGAGGAAAAGCTGCTTCAGAAAGCAGAGAGGAAAAGGAGCCAGGGAGGGAGATACATGCTTCCAGGCCCTGCCCGGGACCTGCCTCCAACCAGGCCAAGTCAGGTTTATCACCGCCATGGTCCAGTCCTCTTCCAAAAGCCCTGCCTGTGAACACGTGAGGCTTTGGGGAACATTCTCAGTCGAAACCACAACAGAACTTGACAAAGAAGACATCTATGTTTCAGAGTGAGAAGATTGTAAAAGGAAATTCTTGGAGCAGTTGGCTGAATCCTTGCTCTTTCTACGAAGTATCACCCATGGCCCCTGGTAATGGGCTGGACCCTCGTGTCCACCCTGCTCACTGCACGTGTGGGCTCATCTTCCAAGCAGTCACCAACTGGACAAGGACAAGACCCAGTTGGAGTTGGTTGTAAGGCATAATCCTTTCTTCTTCCAAAAAGCTCTGTTCTTGAGCTACTACAAGCGTTTATCTTTTCCTTGGAGCCAAGCACCCCGGCTCATGACTGGGGGAGGGATCAGGAAGGGCATGAAGACAAATCTTCAGTCTCACTCTAATCCATGCTCCCTCTCTTCCCCATCCAAACCTGAGTGGATCCCATGCCTGTTCCATGTTGAGGTGCACCTAGTGCCTATAAATTTGCTCTGAAAAAACTTAACCAGCTGCAGAAGCCCCGTCTCAGTTCATCTTTGTATCCCTGCCCTCACTTCTCATGTTCCAAGACTGTATAATTTTTACATGCTCCCCAAGATGCTAGACTAATAGGATATTAGAGGTCAAATGTCCTAGGTTTTCTAATGTAGAGGCAAATCAGCTGAGGCCCCCAGTGGGAAAATTATTAGTAGTTGAATCAATTAATTTGATTCTCAGTCCATGACTTCTTAAGGCTAAACTGCTCAGCCAGCACTTTGCTCCACAGCCCTTATTGCTCACAGATACGAAGGTACCCAAAG